ATAAAGCCCTCAGAATTATCCTAGGATGTCCCATGAGCACTAAAGTACTTAATATGAGGAAAGAACTAGGTATACCCAGTGTTAAAGATAGAATAATTGAAGTCAACCTCATGATAGCCCTGAGGCTTCTGCGTGGTGATCCTGATAACATTGTTTCCTTAAAATTGCTAGAATGTATGAACCATGGGACTACTGAGTCTAAATGGATCCAAACTACAGCTACACATATGAAGATATTTGGACTAGACCACCTGTACAAAGTTGAGACACAACAGCGCTTCCTGCCACCCTGGCGGACAGTTCCCTTCGATATCACAATACCGACGTATCCGCCTAAAAAATTAATTATACAAAGCATTTATCTCCAACACACTGCCAAATTGAGAGCCCTTGAACACATACACACTCTACAGACTGATGATAATATCACACAGACCATCTACACTGATGGATCTCTAAACACCGCCTGTGGGAGGGCTGGAAGTGCTATTGTTGTGACTCAACCTGACGTTAATATAATTGAGAAAGGAGTTAGAATTAACAACTGGGCATCCACTCTACAAACTGAATTAGTTGCCATACTCACAGCTATTAAATTCATTGAAACCACTGTTACTGACAGTCTCATCATCACTGACTCTCTATCCTCACTACTTGCCCTTGGTACCCTCGACTCAGGTTGTCACGATCTTGTCTCTGAAGCCAGACACAAATATGCGTGCCTTGTTGACCGGGGTGTCAGGGTCAAACTGTTGTGGATCCCCTCTCACATAGGCCTCATAAAACATGACAGAGTTGATGCCCTCGCCAAACTCGCGTCTAACAAAGACACCGTTGAATACAATTTGGGTCTGTCAAAAAGAACCCTTAAAACTGTAATTAGGAAAGAACTTATTGATGAGTTTGACGCAAGTAGACAAGTGCAAACAGGCACTAGTCGATCCATAGTTTACCATGATGAGATGTACTATGAAACATGTATATGAGCAAGCACAAGATCTACTAGATTTAAAGATATAAAACTCGCCAGATTACGTTAGGGATATAAGCACTTTGGCATGTTCTCAAGCAGATGGTAAAACAAAGAAAATATAATCATCACGTCTTGATCGTGGAAGATAGACCTTTTGTATGTCCACGTGAAATGGCACAACACTTCATCTCTAATGGCAAGATAGCCGACATATTAAGATTGTATCCACTTTTTGCACTCAGTAACTATATCAGTTCTCATGTACAGAACCAAATACGCAATGTGCTTGAATACCTCCCACGTAAATGTGAATAACAAAGTGTGAGGCCAGACATACTGCCTCACACGCCTGTTCTCACGCATTTGTGAATAAGTTACCCTTTATGTATAGAACTAAACAAATAATGTAAATGAAATACTGTGTAACTTTCGGTGCCATAATATCCTGACAACCGGGGTTAATTATTATGACCCTTTGTAAACTCTACTCTGTAATCCTTTTGCGCTACCGCTCACAGGATGAGTGTGGGGTGCACAATAAAGTAGCCGCTGCAAGCGGCAAAATCAAAATCAAAAATCAATCCTGAGGTAACGCATTAAAAAATAATAAATAATTTAATAAACAAAATATAAAAAATAAAATAATAAATGATATATATATATATATATATATATATATATATATATATATATATATATATATATATATATATACCCACACAAGCAGCAAAACGGTTGAATATTAAACTAATATCATATATTTTCTTATAGCAGTAGAATATAAGTTTAAAATATAGTGAGAAACAGTATAGCTTTGTATAGAAGAGACGCATTGTTCAGCTACAATATACCATTATATACTGTTATGAAATATTGTAGGAAATATTAAATTCATATTTCAACAATAACAAGTTTATTTTCCAGGTTTAAATTGATGTACAATACAATACAATAATATACGACAAACTACAATACTAACATAAGAGTTGAAATAGAACGAGTAAAATAGGATAAAATAATGGAATAAAAAATTAATTAAAATATTACCAAAAGTCTCTATCCCCCTCTTCCTCTTCTCAATCTTCTCTCCCTCCATCCATCTCCCAATTCCTTTCCATCTTCTCCCCATCCTTTCCACTTCTCCTCCCTCCCATCTCCTCAACTCCCTCCCATCTTCCCCCTCCCTCCACCTCCTCCTTCACCCTCTCCCTCAGGAACGGGGCCTCAATAAGACGTTAACTAACTCGCCCTCGAGCTCTCACTCAAGATGGCAAGTAGTACCCGTAATTCTCAAGAGATTTTCCTACGTTAAATTCCCTCCTTCTCTTCCTTCCTCCTCCTTCTCCTTCGCTCCTCCTTCTCCTTCGCTTCCCCTTTAACCGTGGGATTAAATGAGCACCATCATCTTCTTAACGAGAGTCAACTAGTAACATGGAAGCCATCTTGTTAACCACAGTCAATACATACCACAGAAGCCATCTTGTCCGCCATCTTGCTACCCCACTCAATGTAAACAAAGAGCCATTAGTACTTATAAATAAACAAATTCACCGTATTGTAGGAAGGCATCAAACTGGCTCTCTTCATCTAAGGAGTATAGTAGTGATGGCGGCCAGAATGACGTCGATATAGCACCGAGAATCTACCTAGATTAGTAGATGCGTCCCGTTGTTTACAGAAGAGATTTTGACCTAACTTTCCCCTGTGGATTCTACCCGTACGAACACTTCATTAACAGGAAGAGAGTCAGGGAGTGGGTAAAGTTTACGTCCATTACACTGGCTCTTGAAACACACAAACACACACAATACGTTCTCTCCATTCTTCTTCTTCCTTACTTCCATTATCTTTTCCCCTACTTCTTCTTCTTCTTCCCTATCTCCGCCCATTCCTTTCGTTCCACCTACCTCCACCACCCTCTCCTCCCCTTCTTCTTCCCCTCTCTCCACCCTCCTCTTCCACCTACCCACACCCTCCTCGCCCTCAACTCACCTTCCCCATACCTCTTTCTCCACTATCTTCCTGCTACCCCTTCTACCATCCCCTCCCTTTCCCTCCTTCCCATCTCCCTTTCCTTCCAAGAGGGTGAAGGAGGCAACAGGATGATGATCGAGTAAAGCTTTTCCTTCCTTCCTTCCTTCCTTCCTTCCTTCCTTCCTTCAGTCAACATTAATAAGTACAATGATTCAGGACCTATAATTTTAGCCTCATCCTGGCATCGATACTATCTCTCTCTCCCTCTTTCCTTCCTTCCTTCCCTCCTTCCTTCCTTCCTCCCTCACACACACACACTCTATTCTTCCTCCAACCTCACCAACACCAACGACACCATCATCACCAACACTACAATCACCACCAATACTAGGACCAAGACATTCTCCAACACGACCCCACCCTACTACCATCCCCCATCCCCCTACTACCACCAACCCCTACCCCCTATAACCATCCACCCCCAACCTACCTCCCCTACCCCCCACTACACCCAAAACAATGGAAAGACACAGACGAACCACCAGCATAAATTCACAATAAGCAGGGACTCCATTCTACTGGTGGCGTGCTGAAATAGAACATTACATTATGTAGCATGAGAAGGCGTGGAGGGAGGTCAGAGGTGGGGGTGAGGAGGTGGCTGCCAGGGGGGGTGTCAGAATGTGGAGGTGGTATAGGGGGTGGTGAGCCGTGTTGGGAAGGAGGTGAGATTGGGAAGGTGTGGAGGGAAGAGGGGAAGAAGAGCTTGGGGAGAGGAGGAAGAGAACAAGGAGGAGAAGAAAGACTAGGATGAGGAAATAAGGGAAGAGGAGGAGGAGGAGGAAGAAGAAGGGAAGTAGGGAAGGAAAAAGAGGCAAAAGAAGATGAGAAAGAGGAGATAAGGGATAACGAAAAAAGAGAGAAAAGGAAGAGAGGAGAGGAGAAAAGACACCCCCCCTCCCCTCCCCCCCCGAAAAACATAAGCACCATCACACCCTTTTATCTCCCGTCAATAACGATCGTCTTTTGTTACCCGCGTCCCCATAAATCAACCCATTTATAATAGGATCAGATGTAGAATACGTACATTTCCTTATAACCAGATAGAGCCTCATTACTTACACACACACACACACACACACACACACACACACACACACACTTTAATAGGAAAAAGCCAGAGAATATACCTAGAAAGTGATGATTTAGGTCAGGTGTATATGGCTGACGAGTCATTAATTCCTGATGTGAACTAAAGGTGTACTAATGACGTCCTTGATGTGTAATGACGTCATCAAGGTGTACTAATTACGTCATCAAGATTGACATATGGGACCACCACCTCTCTCTCTCTCTCTCTCTCTCTCTCTCTCCCTTCCCTACCCCTCTCTCTCTCTCTCCCTCACACAGCCGGTGCAGACGCAGGTTAGCTGACCCCATAAAAAAACACTATAGTATTATTCATATGTAAGAATTTTGAACAGATAGACAGCTTATATGTGTGTGTGTGTGTGTGTGTGTGTGTGTGCGTGTGTGTGTGTGTGTGTGTGTGCGTGTGTATGTGTGTGAGCGGAGACAAGTAGCAGGAAGATTATAATAAGCTTTCACCAACACTCAACACCAGTCGAAAAAGTGAAGAGTTTATACTGACGGAGAGACCAAGGAGGGACGGACGGACAGACAGACGGGTAGACAGACAGACGGCCAACCACAGCATCAACCAACATATACTTAATAAAAACAAACTTTCGATGGCGCCTGACACGTTCAATTACACGTTAGGACGAGGCTGTGATGGTCACTAGCTGCTGCACACAACAACAGCGTGGTCGACCAGGGGCACTTTCTACCAGACCAAGGGCTGTGTGGTGGTGGTGGTAGGGGGGGGTAATGGTGGTAGTTGTGGTGATGGTGGTAGTAGTGGCAATGGTAGTAACAGTGATGGTGGTAACGGAGGTGTGGAGGCGATGATGGCGGGTGGGTAGGTGGGTAGAGCCATGCCCCCGAAACCTAAGCCAGGTAAAAACACCAGGTAAGTGAGGTGCAGTAACCACTATACTTGCAGGTAAGCTACTGCAGGTACGGGTGTTGTATGAAGAGTCCAGGTGGTCTCAGGGGCCCTCATATTACCATCAGAGGCCCTCATATTACCTTCATCAGGGGCCCTCTCATTACCTCCACCAGGGGCCCTCTCATTATCTCCACCAGGGGCCCTCTCATTATCTCCACCAGGGGCCCTCTCATCATCTCCACCAGGGGCCCTCTCATCATCTCCACCAGGGGCCCTCTCATTACCTCCACCAGGGGCCCTCTCATTATCTCCACCAGGGGCCCTCTCATCATCTCCACCAGGCCTCTCATCATCTCCACCAGGGGCCTCTCGGCCCCCCTCCACCAGGGGCCTCTCATTATCTCCACCGGGCACGCCCTCATTATCCTCTCCACCAGGGGCCCTCTCATTATCTCCACAGGGCCTCATCACACCTGCCTCCGCCAGGCCCTCTCATCACACTCCACCAGGGCCTCTCATGTTCACCTCCACCAGTCCTCTCATCCCCACCTCCTGCAAGGACTCATCACCTCCACCAGGGGAGCCCTCTCATCACCTTTATCCAGGTGAAAAGGAGATGTGGCTATATAAGGGGAGTTGGAGCCCTCGTTTGTCAAAAATAAAAGTAGTAGTAGTAGTAATGGCTGACGTAGCTAACCACAACAAACTTAAGCAAACAACAACCAACCACACACACACACACACACACACACACACACACACACACACACACACACACACACACACACACACACACACACACACCACCCTCCTTCCACCTCCTCCACCACAACTCTTCCCCTCTCTCCTTCCTCCACCAACCCCCCCCTCCCACCATTACTACCTACCAACAACCACCACCACCACCACCACCAACCCCTCCCTCACTAACCCCTCCCTCACCCAACCCCCTCCCCTCCACCCCTCCCTCACCCAACCCCCCTCCCTCACCCAACCCCCCTCCCTCACCACCAAACTTAATACAAAGAATCATTAACTTCACATTTCACAAATCAAATTACATGCAAATCCGGTGTAGTAATTAGCTCAGGAGAAGGTGTTGGTTGTGGCCGGGTTCATTATATCCTACAGTGTCCGGGACTCGCTTCAATATTCACACGTACTGGGATTCCCGCCATTCTTTCCTCCTTCTCCCCCCCCCCTCCCCCTCTCCCTCTTGTAGCGTAACTGAGGGGTGAGGAGGCAAACAGGAGGAGGAGGCAAAGGAGCATGTGTAGTAAGTATATGAGGAGGAGGGAGGAAGAAGAGGTGAAGGAAGAGGAGGGGCAGGGGGGGTGAAGGAAAGGAGGAAAGGGTGGAAGAGGGAGGAAGAGAGAAAATCCATAATGATTAAGAATAGGGGAAGGGAGACGGAAGAAGAATGAGAGAGAGAGAAGAAGAAGAGAGAGAGAGAGAGAGAGAGAGAGAGAGTTAAGCTGAGTTACATCCCTTCATAAGTTCAGACGACACGTCCCCTCGTCACCAACGTCCCCTCCCCTTCATCAATCCCCCCTTAAATAAACTCACCCCTTCCCCCTTCCCTACCCCCCCTTTTATTTTACCAGGCGATGCTGACTGCCTGTGCTGGCGATGGTTTCCAAGGCACCAGTTATAGTTCGATCATCACACAAACCTAACCTATGACTATTTACCTTCACGATGACGTCACACGACCATCAAAGCGGCAGGTACTAACTATGACGTCACGGCCAATCAGGAGGAGGCCTACTATGACGTCACGGCCAATCAGGAAGAGGCCTACTATGACGTCACGGCCAATCAGGAAGAGGCCTAATATGACGTCACGGCCAATCAGTAAGAGGCCTACTATGACGTCACGGCCAATCAGGAAGAGACCTACTATGACGTCACGGCCAATCAGGAAGAGGCCTACTATGACGTCACGGCCAATCAAATGTCCGCAATACATACCTGGAAAGAAGGAAACACAAATCTTAATACATAAAAATAATACATATCCAAGAGAAATGAATTACAGAATATATAAACATTACAGTAGGAATTAATTTTGTTTTTATTTATTATTTCCAGAGTGTTAAGTAGAGCCACCTCTCTCTCTCTCTCTCTCTCTCTCTCTCTCTCTCTCTCTCTCTCTCCAACGTCAGAAGAGATCAGCATCCTATAAACTACATGCCAGTTCTCCTGACATCCAACGTCAGCCTCAGAAGCCACCACCAAGCGCAACACCACCACCACCAACACCGAACACTGACGTCAGCACAAAACAACGATGACGTCAACACTAACAACACAGACGTCAGCATCAACAGCCAATGACGCCAGCCAAGGGAGCATATATCCGTGTTCACCAGCCAAGGGAGCATATATCCGTGTTCACCAGCCAAGGGAGCATATATCCGTGTTCACCAGCCCAGGGTAGCCAAGAACAAGGGAGCATATACTGTACACCCTTCTTCCTCTGAACACATCCACAAGTTTTGATTGATTGATTGGCTGACTGATTGACTGATTGATCGAATGACTGACTGACTGACTGACTGACTGACTGATTGCCTAACTGACTGACTAACTAACTGAAAATATGATTGCTTGACTGACTGACTGACTGATTGACTGACTGACTGATTGCCTAACTAACTGAAAATATGATTGCTTGACTGACTAACTGGCTGACTGACTGACTGACTGACTGACTAATTGCCTAACTAACTGACTAACTAACTGAAACTATGATTGCTTGACTAACTGGCTGACTTGACCGAAACAGTTTTATTTAGCCAGAAAAACACAAAGTAAAGAGTAACAATACTAATAAAACTACACAGGGGTCCCACACTCCTGATGAATACTGCCAACTCGGGCTGAACACCGTCAGGGGGAGACTTGCCACCCCTCTCTGATACTTTACACACCGGCACTACTTGTATACATTGCTTACACCCCTACACACGTATACTACACCCCTACACCCCTACATCCATCCCTACACCCCTACATCCATCACCTCCCCCCCCCCCTACATCCATCCCTTCCACCCCTACACTCATTCCCTCCACCCCTACGCCTATCCTCCTCCACCCCTACACCCAGGTACAGGTGTGTCCCACATCCCTTTAGGGTGGAATAATAAAACCAGTGGTGAATTAAGGATTAGTGGTAGGGGTAGTAGTTGTTGTTGTTGTGGTAAAGGTGGTAGTAATGATTGGTGGATCAAAGGAGTAGTGGTGGGGGTGTGCTAGTGGTGGTGGTGGTGATGAATAGTACTAGTGGTGGTGGTGGTGGTGGGGGGTAGTACTAGTGGTGGTGGTGGGGGGTAGTACTTACTAGTGGTGGGGTAGTACTAATTAGAAATTGGTGGGGAATTGTTACTAGTGGTGGTGGTGTTAGTAGTAGTAAATGGTAGGTAGTGGGGAAGGTGATGGGGGGAGTAAAGCCCAAAACAACAGGACACGAATGCTTGTTGTTGATATATAAGGCCCCCCCCCAACACACCGCCTGTATAATATCCATTCACCATTTACAGAATACATAGAATACATAATTAGAGGGTAGAATACACACACACACACACACACACACGAAGCACACAAACGCACAGGTATACAGACACACGCATATATACATACAGAAAGACAGACACACACACACACACAAATCACTCACGGATGCACCCCACCCCCATCCAATCTTTACCAATACCAACATCAGGCGATATTCAAAGGGCAGACTCATGGGGATGAATAATGCTAAACGACAGAGCTATGTGTGTGTGTGTGTGTGTGTGTGTGTTTCTGTATGTATATATGCGTGTCTGTGTATACCTGTGCGTTTGTGTGCTTCGTGTGTGTGTGTGTGTGTGTGTATTTTTCTGTACAAAACCCAGGCGATATTTAAAGGGCAGACCCACGGAGATGAGTTATATTACAGACCCCTGGCGATACATATTGGCCAGACCTATAGGGGTTAAAGGTCTAGCAATACGTCACTAATATCGCTGGGAAATGATTCTTTAATCTCTACACTTATCATAGCTGAAATGTAAATAAAATTATCACCATCTAATAAAAAAAATTATTTTATTCGTATTATTAAATATTTTATAAGGAAATTCATTTTATTTATATTATTTTATTATATTAACACGTTGAATATAATCACATCCTCGTTAAATTTGACATATTAATTAATTAGTTACCTTATCATTAATTACTATGTTATTAAATAAATCCCTTCATTAATACGTTGAAAATAAATTATATAAATAAATTAAAATAAACATACAGGGTGATCCAAAAAAAGATTTCCCAGGTTGTATTATAACTCTGTGGGCCATTCTTTTTGGATGACTCTGTAGTTTTATTATATATATATATATTTGCGTTAATAATAAATAAATGGATTATTATTATTATGACCCCCCGCTTGTTAAATATGACTACTGAAACGTGAATAAAACCGGTATTTTTTTTTTAATGTGCTTTTCCAGGTAGGAGACTAATAGCTTACACAACCCAGTACACCAGGTAACAAGCGTACCACTATACCAGTATTATCCTCCCGGTACCACCCATTACCATTCCAGTACCATTAGCTAGTACCATCATCCACCACCACCACTACCACCACCACCACCACACCCACCCAGTTCCACCTAGTACCACAAACACAACTCACTCGTACGGTATCACCACAACCACCACCACCACACCACCATAACCTAGCAGTCACAAGCATACCCACAACCCTTTCACCTCCCACCAGTTACAACCAGCCCCACAACCAGTCACCCCTTAACACAACAACAACACGGTAACTCCTCCCAATGCCTGTCGCAGCAACCCCTATCTCCCCCCCTCCCCCCCCTCTTTTCCTTTATACATGACAAAGATCTGTCACTCTAGACTCAAGCCCCCCCCCCTCCTTTCCCCTCTCTCCCCCTCCCTCCCTCAGCAAGTGTCGTGTGATATACTCCCTTTTCTCCTCCCTCTCTCTCTCCCTCCTTTTGTAAATGTTGTATAGTACTCCCTCCCTCCCTTCCCTCCTCCCTTGCCCTCCTTCCCTCCCTCCTCCAACACCCTCCCCTCCCTCCCTCAACCCGTCAACAAGACCATTAATCTAAAAAGGATTCGTCTCCTTCTTCTTCCATTAAGCTGCTTTAAGACCACAGACATGTCCTCCCCCCACCCCCATCTCCTCCTCTTCGTCAACCTTCATCGTCTCCTCCCTCTTCCTCCTCGCCACCCTTCTTCTCCCATTCTCGTCTCCTCCCTCCTCCTTTTCCTCCTATAATAATCGTCGTCTTTTTATTCGCTAATGCCATCTTCCCCTCCCCTCTTCGTCATTATGGCACCACAGCACTATGGCACCACAGCACTATGGCACCACAGCACTATGGCACTACAGCACTATGGCACCACAGCACTATGGCACCACAGCACTATGGCACT